GTAATTAAAATTGTAGTCGAAAGAGACTTTTTTTACATTAAACGACTCTTTCGACTACACTATAAGGATATATATATATATATACATATATAATTTGGATTCACCTCCTCAAGGCCATGAAGGCCACTACAGTCTAGGAGGCTATTTAAGTTGTAGTTTGTAACCCTCTCTCAACTCTATAACTCCGAAACACAAACCTTGACAAACAAGTCTGCTGCGCAGGGAAACTATATATTTATACACACATATGTATATACATGCATATATATACACAAATTTTTCTAAATCGTTTATATAAATAAATTAAAAACCTAATTTTTCTTCTAATTTTAGCTGGTGATAATATAAAAGGTGACTCAGGAAAAAGATTGAAAATGGCTTTTGATTTCTTAAGTTCTATAGATGATAATGGTAAGATTTTTTAGATTTTGTGAATATCTATTATATTTATTATTATTAAATTATTAAAAATATTATGTAATTGTTAATTTATTTGTTAATATATTTGAAGAATATTTTAATATAATTATAATTTATTACTAAAAATGTATTATGACTGATGAGTGTATTCTGTAATGAGTGTATTTCTATAATGACTGATGAGTGTATTCACTTGCTAACTTAAGCTAATTTTTTGCAACCTTTGCCATACAAACCTTTGTCATTTTCTTTTTAAAAGTAAACTTTTTATATGTGTAAATAACTTCATTGACTTGCTTTTTAACAATCACTGCACTAGGTGTTCACGGTATATATATATATATATATATATATATATATATATATATATATATATATATATATATATATATATATATATATATATATATATATATATATATATATATATATATATATATATATATATATATATATATATATATATAATGGTTACTTTACTGGGTGGACAAAAAACTATATTATTTTGTTACACATATTTTTAATATTATTTACTTTATCCTAAAATGTCAATACAAATCGATATAAAGACATGTTTCTAATGCAATAACCATCACTTTATTATCTTTATAATGGTTTTATTTTCTTTTTTTGGAGTTACTCATTTTACTTTGATAGATTGTGTAAAATTAATGCCATAATTCTAAGAGTTACCCAATTTGTTAAGAAATAAAAAAAAAAATTTTACAAGTTTTTTTTATTTGAATATAAAAAAGTAATAATAATAAATAATAGTAAAAATAATAATAAATAATAGTAATAATATATAAATAATAATAATAATAAATTATAATAGCAATAATAATAAATAATAAAAATAGCAGCAATAATAAAAATATTAATAATAAATAACAACAATAAAAATAACAGTAAAAATAATAATAAAAAATAGCAATAATAATAACAATAACAGTAATAATAATAATAAAAATAAATAATAAAAATAGTAATAATAATAAATAATAATAATAAAAATAATAGTAAAAATAATAATAAATAATAGTAAGTAATAATAATAATAAAGGATAAACATTTAAATATAGTTAAACAAAAAAGTTGCGCCTTTATTGATATAGGCAGCTAGAAAAAAATAATAAAGAAAGAGTGGAAGAAATGAAAATCCTCATTGTTTGTGTGGAATATTATTTTAGTAATCATGGTATTCATCGGGCGTTGATATTTTGAGATCTGTAAATCATTATATTTTCGCAAAGATATTTTTAGTCTTGTTAGATGTAGTTTATTTAAGTCAGTAATGTTTTTTGGACTTATGTTTTTCTTCCTTTGTAATAATGCAATTTATGGATTGGAAAACCTAAGTTTATAAAAGATACTGCCATCAGGATTATACAATAATGCTTGAATATTAGTAACCTAAAATAAACCAATACAATTTTATTATTTTTGATATAATAACTGAGAAAAAAATTCTGTATAATTGATTAAAAAAATAAGTAAATCTGATACCTTTGTATTGCCTTTAGTTTTTCTTATTGATTTCGAAAATTAAATTTCATTAAAACTTTTGAAAAATGAATGATTGAGGTATGTTACATTGTAGAGAGAGGATTTCCTTGCACTTTTACATATTCCCAAGTATTCAGCAGGAGTATGGATGGCAAAAATCCCGGAAATTTTCAATCCTGGGATTTCAGGATTGAGAAATTTGTCCCCGAGAAATCCCGGGATTGAATAGAAAAAAACACAAATGCAATTGAATACTTTTTAAGCACTAATCAAACACTTAAAAATGATTAATTTAATGATAATTTATAAGTATTATAAGTATTATATAAAACAATACCTTTAAATGGTAACACAGTATAAATAAAAATAAAAATTAAAAAATAATATAAATATGTATGACGTTAAAAAAAACTTTCATAAATCACACATTTGAGAATTAAAATGAATGAATATAAAACTGGAATTAAAATCGCGCATACTTTTGGAAGCAGAAAATTCAAAATTAAATTAATGTATACCTTGTTAAACTTTATCTATTTTTATAATATACTAGTTGTAATATAATACTATATATTATATATAGTATAATATTAAAACTAGTATATTATAAAAAATAACAAAAATATAAGCGCTTGCTTGTGGAAAGAGCAAGAGTTTTTAATAAAAGTTATGCATTAATTTTATTTTATTATATATTTTTAATTTTAATTAAAAAGATTAAAAATTAAAAGGAAAACATTGCAAAGATAATAAATGATTACACAACCAAACAGCTACTATACCAAAGACGATATAAAAATTAAAAATAAAACTACAATTAAAAGCTTAAGCTTTATTAACCTTTTCTTTTTTTTTACGATCCCGAAATCCCGGGAAATTTTGGAGACTAATCCTGGGATTTCGGGATGAACATTTTTTACAAAATCCCGGGATTTCAAGATTCCGGGATCCCGGGATTGCCATCCCTAAGCAGGAGCACAAATTATTTTGTTTTTCAATTGTCTTTCAATACAAGCATGGAATCCGCTTTCATCTGTGTATTTCCGGTCTCCAAATATTTTTGTTCAATATTTTTTTTATGCAAAGATGACAAATTAATTAATGCATTTGATAGCACAGAATTTCTATTCTGGTAGGTACATCCGTCACTGTACAAAATAACTTTGCATCATCAATTTGATCAATACTTGGCAGGACTTTTTCTATCAACAATTTCTATATAATAGTGGCAAATTCTTTGACATATAAACCGCCCTCAGTCTCGTTTCATAAATAAAAAAATCTTTGTTTTTTTTTTTAAATTGTAAAAACAAAGATGCACAATTTTGTTTTATAATACAACATAGAGACATTAGGGACAGAAGAACAGCCTGTAAGTTTATGGTAAAAATATAAAGTTCTTTTATCTCGTCTCTTTTCTTTTCATCCCTTGCCTCATCTTTTTTTTGTTGGTGCACTTCATATTTTGGTAGGTGACTTTTCTTATATGGAGTACATTTTTTGCATGCTTCTTTTTTAGGCTGGAAAAGCTTTTAATAAAGTTTGGCATGCTGGTCTTCTCCATAAGCTTTCTTCTTACGATGTATTTGGCTACATCTTTAAAATTATTGAATCTTTCATTTCCAATCGTAGTATAAAAGTTTTCCTCGATAGACAACACTCTTCTTATTCTGTAACCTCAGAGGTTCCTCAAGGTTTAATCCTTGGCCCTATACTCTTTAATTTACATTAATGATCTTCCAGATATTTTCACATCTCAGGTGGCATTGTTTGCTGCAAAATTAGTATCTGCTAAGGTGCATCTCTTCATCAAGCATGACACTTTCTTACTCTGATTCTATTCTCTATCTCTATAAATCTCAAATCTGGCTTTGTATGGAATACTGTTGCCATATCTGGGGCGGATCTTCTAATGATGCTCTTTCCCTTTTATACAAGGTGCAAAAATGTATTGTAAACATTGTTAAACCTGCTCTTGCAGCCAAACTTCAACCATTATCACATCGTCATAATGTTGCTTCTCTTTCTCTTTTCTACAAATACTATAATGGGCACTGCTCTAAAAAGCTAGCGTCTCTTGTGCCATCTACTAAAATTCATTCTTGTGTTACTTGTCATTCAATTAAGTCTCATCCTTTTTCTGTTACTGTTCCTAAGTGCTCTAAAAACTCTTATTCGTCTAGTTTCTTTCCTCAAACATCAGTTCTTTGGAATTCACTTCATCTTTCCTGATTCATATAATTTGCAATCTTCTAAGTCGTCTGTCAATCGTAATCTTGCTCTACAATCTTCATTTTTTCTCTTCCAGTAACTTCCAACTCTAATTAGTGGTTGCTTGCAGCCTTGCTAGAAGCGAAGATGTTGTAGAAAAAAAACAACATATATATATATATATATATATATATATATATATATATATATATATATATATATATATATATATATATATATATATATATATATATATATATATATATATATATATATATATATATATATATATATATATATATATTAGCCTTGTCAAGCTGCTTGTGAAATTTGCCAATTGAAAGAGGGGTTGCGGTATTTTTATATGGGCACTATTCATTTTTCTAAAAATTCTCCAACTCAGTGTTGGACCTCCACTCTGGTTGCAAATATTTTTTTGAAATCCTTTTCCTGCAGAAATGCAACTCCATTTTTGGTAAAGAATCTAAAAAATCCAAAAGATTCATTATACTCTTTGTAATGACTTTTGTTGTGTTATTACTTTTATTGTTTTTTGTTTGTGTGTGTGTGTTTTTTTCCAATTGAGTACAGTATTTTTAGATAAGTCTAACGTATGCAAAAACATTGTTTTGCACACCCATATGTCTGTATCACTTTTTCTCAGAAAATACATTATGGAAGATGATCTCCTAGATATCTCCGATTATTTTCTGCCTTTTTGCCTTTTAACTTCTAAAACTTTCATAAGCTCATCAACATACACCTTCTTTTCTTTCCAACTCATGTTTAAAAAAATGTTGAAAATATATTTTGTGTTGTTTTCAGATAAGAATAGCATTTAAAAGCACTATTTTCACAAATTTTTGTACACTCACACCTTGTTTTAAGTTTTTATCATTTCTTGGTATTTTATTATTCCATGATCCATCGTTTTCTTTTTGTCTGCCGAAGTATTTTTTTCCTTTTTCTCTTTTTTTCTGGTTCTCAATAGTGGCCCTCAAAGATGTATTCACCTCACACATTTTCCTTCTTTTTACTTTAGGAGATTGAAAATTCTCAGAATTTTTGTCAGAATCTGAATATGAAGTGTTAATGATGTTGTTGCCATCTCTTCCAATATTTTGATCAACAGCATTAGCATGTGCTTCTAATAATATCCCTTGTGTCTAATTATTAAAATTATTATCGTCAATATTTGGCTTTCTACAAGATCACTATCAAGTATGATGGGCAATTCCATAATTAAATCTCGATTCTCTTGATAAATTTGTAAAAAATCATTCCTGGGATTTGCTTCACTCAAACAACCTTCTTTATTCTTATGATTTCCAGTTGCCAATTTAACCATAGCCTTTCTTCTGCTATTCATCTATAAGAATGGATAATTAAGTAATGTAGATACCCATTTAATTTTTTGGATGTTCAGCTATTTTTAAAATAATCATGATTTAATTCAATCCTATATATTAAAAACCTGTGTTTTTAGTTTAATTAATAACATAATATAAAAAAACCAAACAATTAAGATAAATTAGTTCCAGTAATATGTCCAGTAATAATTAAAATGCAACGTTGTTAACTCCTGCAAAACTTTATACTAAATCATAATGGTGCAATATAAAACTTTTTTAATAATTACATAAACTAAATTACATATTAAGGGACAAATGATGAAAAAAAACTTTAACAAACTGATAAAAAATAAAGTTGATACTTACATTTTCAATTATTTACACTTTTTTAAAAGAATTGAAACACCAAAACCACTTAATTGTAAAATATTTTAAAGAATTCCCAATACACAACCAATCTCTCGCAAGTTTGCATACAAAATGGTGGAGTTGTTCAATTTGCAGTGTTGCGAATACTAACATGAGAGTTACCCATTTTTCTTGAGATGTTTTTGAGGATATTTGTAATAATGTTGAACTCACTCAATTTATGTAGCATGTGTATTGGCATGCAAACAATAAAATGCCATTATTAAGTCATTTTGTAAAAAAAATTGGAGTTACCCAATTTGCATATTAAGGTATCGGCTAAACTCATCTACTAAGAAAAAAAAACAAACCTAAAAAAAGAAAACACCATTGTAACGAAATATCAAGTTAATTAATTAAACTAGATAATTTAATTAAAAAAAGTAAATAATTTTTTTTTTTAATAAAATTTTATACAACTTTTGTATTCTTTTTTTTAGAAAAAAACATCTTTTATAACAATTTAACAACAATTGAAATTTTTGATATACAATTTATTCATCAGTCCATTTAATTAAGAAAGTAACTTGCTATGTACGCTAGAAGTATAAGAAATTTTATTAATTTTTCTTTTTATATCTATTTGTTAATCACGTTTATTTGTTGTTACGTCTTTTTACTTTTAAAAATGTTTTTGCTATATTTGACATTTTTTCTCAATATTTATATAAAAGGAAAATAAGAAAATAAATTGTATAAAATATTTTTTTAAATTTGATTAATAAATTTTGTAATGACTGAATAAGTTAAATAAAAAAAAATAACTTTAATAAATATATTTGCTTTTTTAAAACCTTTTTTTACTTAAAAAATAGTTTTAAATAGGCCCTTAAAAACTTGATTGAAAAAGTTCAGTAAATTAACTATGCACTATCCCACAAGATTTGGGAGCATCATTTCATTTTTTTACATGAAATACTTAAAAAAATTTAAATAGCAATTAGTTTTCTCGCCTCCCAGTGCATTTCCAGTCCCCTCTCCATTGCATTGATAAAAACAGTAAAGTTTAGCAAACACATTTGAAAAACAAATTTAAAAATTGTCAGTGTTTCTACCGCAAGTTATAAAGTATTTCCTTAATATACTGATTGAAAAAAGTCACGGAAAAATTGTATATAAAAAAAAAATTATTTATATATATATGTTTTATATGTACTAAATATAAAACAAGTAGCCTGTTAAAAATTTAAACCATAAAATATTATCAATAAAGTAATTGCTCCAATCTGAAAATAAATTAATTATTTTTTTTAGATCATTTTATTTAATTTTTATTTGCCCATTACTAGAGTTTGCAGTTCTAGTCTGGTCTCCCTTTCTAAAATCTGATTTTGGCAATATGGATTTCAGCACAAAGCTGGTATTATCGATAAGATTTTGAAAACTGGTATCATCAATAAGATTTGTTTCCCTTAAAAAGACTAATAAAAGCATTAAATCTAACTACATAAATGGAAAAGAGACAAAAGAGAAGATGTTAAAAATTATGCAAAATGTTGACAAACTAAGAAAAAATATTTGTTTTCCAATTGTTAACAATCAGTTGAGAGGTCACTGTTAAATATTAGAAGGAAATGACAAGGCTTAAGTACCAAGAAAATTTCTTTATTAGAAGATCAAATTTATGGAACTTTGCCGAAAGAAGTAGTTCAATCATCTTCAGTCAACAGTTTTAAAGCAACAATTGATTGCTGGATGAGCAGCAATTGATCATTTTGGCTGTTATAGTGTACCTGATAACATACTCACTGGCAATGCCAGTTACAGCTTTTACTACTATTAACTTATCAAATTCATTTTATTAAAAATATTTTTGATTCTGAAATTTAAAAGTTATTCATTATTTCTAGGTGATTTGATATCTTTATTTGATGAAGAAGATATTTTTGATGAAATAAAACAAGCCAGGCAAAAGGTAAATGATTTTTTATAGTGCAGTTTTTTAGAATATTATTTTTTTAAAGTTGTTTTCATCCTCGTTTTTTTTTTTTTTTTTTTTTTTTTTTTTTTTTTTTTTTTTTTTTTTTTTTTTTATGAATTTTGTTTTTATGTGTTTTTTTGTTTTTATGTGTTTATTTATTTATGAGTTTTGTTTTTATGAATTTTGTATTTATATTTATATATTTCTTAAAATTTAAGTTTGTTAAAATACATAAAAAAAATTTTCGACAAGCATCTTTTTTTTTAAATACTTGAAATAAAAACTGGAAATGTTTTATTTAAATTCTAAATGCAAATGTAATTTAAAAATAAAATAAAAATGTCTTTTATTTAATTTGCAAGCATAGCAATTAAAAATAAATGTAAAAACAAATGATTCTAAACAAAAAATTTGAAAAAATTGGCAAAACTAATATTTTATATAAATTTCTAATAAAATGGTAATAACTGCATTTTTTTTTAATAATTTTAATCAAGCGTCAAGGTTTCGCCAAAAGCTTGGCGAACTTGGAATATGTTTTGTCAACTTTGTGCTTGTTCGTTGATTTTATGCTGACTTGATCCGATATAAAAAAAGCTTTAGGTTGGCAATTTTTTGCCTACGTTTTTTCTGAGGGATATATATATATATATATATATATATATATATATACACACACACATATATATATATGTGTATATATTTATGTTTATATATATATATACACACACACACACACACACACACACACACACACACACACACACACACACACACACATATATATATATATATATATATATATATATATATATATACGCACACACACATATATACACACATATTATATAAGCATATTTATATATACACACACACGCCACACAATTATTTCAAAAGAAAAATATATGACTTTTAATTGAATTTCAAAATTTATTAAAGTCTTGAATTTCAAAATTTATTTCTCCTTCTCTTTTTTTATTTGTAGTTAATTTTATTTTTATTTTGTGTATTTTACAATGTGTTTTATATCCTGATTTATTACTTCTCTCTCTTCATCGATATCAAAAATTTTTAAATCAATTACATATTGAATTAACAGTTTGTATAAACTTACAACTGTTTCTAAATCTCAACAGACTGCAATTGTTTACTAGTTTAGTTGAATCTTTTTTGGCCATAATAGCTGTTGTAAGACTGTCTAATTTTTAATATAGTCCATTAGCTTCTGATTTTGTGATTGACTTTTCTGATTTATCATTTTTGTTAAAAGACAGTGCATTAATTGTTTCATTTTCATTTTTGTTTAAACTAATACTTGCTTACAACCTGCTATCTGAGTTTTTTTAAGTGATACATTATCTATTTTAATTAAGTTATTCTGAAGTATTTCCCATAGTATATTTTGAAGCACTGAAAAACTTGTGGATATTTTGAAGTATTTCTATAACAGTCCACAGTGCATTTAAAAAGAAGATTTAAAGTGTGTTCCGAGCATACTACAAACATAGTTAAAGAATTAACTTCTTTAATACAAGTCCTGTATATATATACCAGACACGTTAAGCATTAAACTTTGACCACGACAGTTGTTTATATCTAATCCATACAATTCTAAAACTAAAAATACAGCATCTGCTAATTTTTTAATTTTATGACAAGAATTGGTTAAAAACCCTGAAAATCTTTCTACTGGAAAGCCATTATTTTGAATGTATCAAAAAATAAAATTAAAAGAGAGGTATGATGTTTACTCTTTTTCTTATTTGCCAAACTTTTCAATACACTTGGCTAAAAAAATATAAGACTCAGCAATAAGCTCTAAGCTCATCAAAAGGTTTCCATTATGAACAGTTCTATTTAGTTTATCAAGAAGTTTATGAACATTAAGTCATCATCACTGTTAAAAAGCACAAGAAGAAAAAGGATTCCACAAGAAGAAATTGATTTCACAATAGCTACTACTCTAGTCAATACATTATTACAATAACTTATTTCCATTTCTGCTTGAGACTTCAGCTTTTGATCAATTCACTTTATTACTTCTTTTTTTTTCATATTCAATACACATAATTTGAGGTTTTTTGAATTTTTTTCAATCTGAAAAGCCAACTGTGGCTTTAGCGCCACTAAATAAATAGCAGGTTGCACAAAAATTCTTTACTTTCTTAGTAAATCAAAATTGTTCAGTTAATTTTTTTTTACCATTTTTTTGAGTTTGAAATGTTATAACTTGAAATGCTAACATTCCTTTTAAAGTCTGATTAATAAATTTAGTCATCATAAGAATTTAAGTAAAAAAGTTATTTATTTTTAGTTAAATTCTTAAAAAAAAAGTCATAAAAATTTGAGATCATTAAAGAAAAAAACCATGTAATAGTTTTCATTTTAAGTGTTTAAATTGATTAAATAGAAAGTATTAAAAAAATTATCATCATAAAGTGCAGACAAAATACAACAGACAATTATTTAAAACAAATATTTCATTTAATAAAAACTTAGTATCTGAATCACTTGCAAAGAAAAAAGTAAAGCGTTTTTTTTTTTTTTTTTTTTCTATGAAAGATTTTTATATTTTTATTTTAAATCACCCAAAACAAATAATAATTAACCAAAAAATAATATTTCATCTATTAGCTTTTATTGATTGCAATTTCCTTTTTTGTAAAGTAAAGACTCGCTAGAAAAAAATTAAGTTTTTTTTTTATTAAAAAATTTATTTATTAAAAAATCAGTATCTAAATAACCAGCTAAGAAAAAAGTTTTTACTTTTTTTTTAGCACTTTGTTAAAAAACAATCATTTGTTTTGGGCGATTCAAAAAAATATGCCATAACTATTGTAGTGAAAAAATTTATTGAGAGTTAATAGCAAAATATAAAATTTATATTGTATTTTATTAAAAGATTATTAACAAATATATATTTTTTAAATCCATGTTTGTTTGTTTTTTAATTATTAGGCTTTATCACAATATAACCCTATAAAACATAGTGCAAACTTTTAAAGTGTATGCATAAAGTGCTTAATTTAGACAACAAATACATAAAATTTAATTTTTTCCTCTGGTAAAAAACTTGATAATCTACTTTTCAATATTTTTCATTTTAATCAATCAGTATTGATTGGCGACCTTTAAATATTTATTTTCAGTGCTGGTGTATGATATTTGCAAACTATTATAATAATTTATGAAATAAGCTAAAATATGTTTGTAATTTAGGAGTTTTTAAATTTATTCTGGATTGAGCTTTATCTTTTGCATGAGACTGAATGTTTTTAGTTTTTAAGCCATTAAGCTCTTCACTATAGTCCATTGTTGTTTTAAAAATAAAAATCCAACAATGTAGCAATGTAACATTATTGGTTCATATCAAATTAATATGAACAATCTTCACAATTCACAATATGATGTGTACTTATTTATTCATATATACAAGAAACATTTATAACTTTTATATAGATGATTTTCAAATGTTTACTGAAAAGTTTTCAGAAGACTAAAAATAAGTCAAACTAAAGTTAAGGAATTTTAAAGCACTAATAGTCATCATGAGAAACCCCAGTCAAATATGGTAGTTGTGTGTGTGTGTGTGTGTGTGTGTTTGTGTGTGTGTGTGTGTGTGTGTGTGTGTGTGTGTGTGTGTGTGTGTGTGTGTGTGTGTGTGTGTGTGTGTGTGTGTGTGTGTAGTTCTACAGTTTTTATACTACAGAGCAAGACAACAGATTAAGGTTTGAAAATTTCCGTGAAATTTTCAAACCTAATTTTCTTTTAGAATAAAAAAAAAATTTCAGTATTTTTTTAAATACTTTATAATACTTTAAATGTAACAAACTCTTTTGAATATAGCATTTTATATAGCATTTTTAGGTCTTCATTTAGCGTGCTGACAGAATGTCAAAATGTCTTGACACACAAGCTTATATGGATTTTTCTGAAGCAAGACAAATGAGTTTTGGTTTGTACATAAAGATATTTTATTATTTGCTTGGATATAAAAAAATCTTGTTCTTTATATCCAAACAAATAATAGTTTTTATTAATTTTTAACTTTTTTTAATAACAAATCAATTAAGGTTTTAATATTTTTACAGGCACTATTATGATTAGCAGTCTGATAGTGTCTGATAGATTTTTTTTTCCAAACTATTTTTAGTTTAAATTATTAAATCATTGTTTTATTTGCTAGATTTGTTTAATTTATGTGATTTGTTTAATTTATGCAAAAATTTATGTTTTTGTATGTGATTGTGTGCAAGTTGATGTTTATGCAAATGCAACAATTTCTCACAAGTTTTATTTTTGGTAAATATTTAGCAAAAAAAATTGGGAAATTTAAAGATTGGTTAGGAATTGGATCTGGAACTGATACCAAAACTAGTACAGCTGTTGTTGAAATTTTGAGCTACCTTGCCTATGAAACTGTGAATGAGGTAATATTTCAATAAAAACATGTACAAATTATTGATTATTCTATTTTTTAAATTGTTGTTACAAATCATATACCGCAGAGTGAATATTTTATTTATCATTTCAATTTGACATGAAGTTGTTCTCTGTATATTTTTGGAGCTTGTAATGTTGTTATATTACATCACCACCCATAACTATTCGAATGGTCATACTTTTTAATATAAGATATCAAAGTTTTACTTACTATTGGGAGAAAAAATGTAAAAAAAATCTACCTGAATTATTTATTTTCTTCCTATTTATTAAGTTTACATAAAAATTAGTAGAAAGTCCTATTAGAATTATTTATAATTTACTTGCCCTTTTAATCAACCTAAGCAACAATAACCGCTATAAATATTTTCCACATCATTTGCACAATAAGGATTTTTTTTTTGACATTAAATTTGACATTTAAAACTCTAATAGGAGATCACCTCTCCAAAGCGGAAAAGACCACTGCAGACAAGGCTACCTAATTTTGGTTACAACCCTCTCTCACCTCTGTAACTCTGAAACACGACCTTGATAAACAAGGTTGTTGTGCGGTAAAAAAGTTGATTTGGTGATTGGGGAGGCCAAATCATTCTATTCAATATTTGATCATTCTCTAACTCAGTCAAATAATACAATATTTTAGTCAAGTTATACAATATTTTAAAGAATATATTTTTGCAAGGAAACCGTTGACAGAGGACTTGAAAAAGTTGTAGGTTGTATGAGTTAGGAAAAAATTAAGATGGAAGAGAGTTCCAAAGGGCTATAGTGCTGGGGGAAAATAACCTTTAGTTGAAGGAACTTGAAATGATAGCTCCTTTGAACATCAATCGTGATATTATTTGTATAAAAGAGATGCAACTTCACAACGATGGGAAAGAGACTCAAGCTTAGCAGAGACTCAAGCTTAGCAGATAGTCCAACTACGTATGCAATGCATATGTATATTTTTAATAAGAGAGTTGGCTTTCGAGGATGACTTTAATAAAGCGGTTAGACAGAGTTAGATCTACCGTTCTTAATAATGCTGTTTAAGATTTTTTTAAAGTTTTTAGAGCCTAACTTCTAAAATAAGATATGTAATTTAGTGAATTAAGAATAATGGAGCTTAGCATAAGACACTACTTTTTTACATCAATTTCTTACAATAATAAATAGCTGTTTGTTCTCAAAATCATTGTTCCCAAAAAAAATATTTTAAAAATGATTATGATTAGATATAACAGCTGCATAAGAAGGTGAAGTAGAATGGAGTAGAATGAGGCTTGACCTGGAACCAACAAAAAGGAATAAAAACCTCCACTCCTGCCCAAATCCAGGAGACTACATAGGAGGCGGTTTTATCAGCTGAGAGAAAAAACTTCGACCCAAAGACCGTCACAAAGAAAATCATGAAAAGAAGCCTAGTTAGTTTTAAGGTAGTACTAAGTAGTGTGATGATAAGGTGGGTCTGAAAAAGAAGTACAGGATGAAAGATTTATAGAGATAATTGCATGGTCAGAACCACTTAAGGGAGAAAAAAGAGAAACTGAATACAAATTAGGATTAGGAGTGAAGGTAAATTATTAGTAATTATTATTAGGTCCAGAAAACCACAAAGTTAACTGAGCAAGAGGAAGCGCATAAAAGAAAAAAGGATTCTAACCTGATTCCATAAAAAATAGGTGAATTAATACATATATATACCCCCAAGTCAAGCATGTGACTGTTAGAGTCTTTTCTAATCGATGGATAGTACTCATCAACACTGAGATCTGAAGAAGAAAAAGTAGAATTTAAGTTAGTTCAAGCAAGTCTAGCGAATTTTGCTAGAGGTAAGATTCAACAGGTTGAAGGTTGCTTCACAGGCCACAAATATTTGTAAAAGATATGTTAAAACTGTTAGGTGGTGGATATGGGTTTTTGTGTTGTTTTTTTTTTTTGCACACCATTCATGTGCAACATGGCACTGTTAATACTCTAATTCTTTACAGCTGTGGATGGAATCAGCTTCGCCCAGAGCTTTACAGGTTTACATCTATGCTAGCCTAATAAATGAGGAAGAGATTTGAAGCTGGTTAATATAATTATTCTGCTTACACTTTGAAGATTTTACTTAGGAGGGTTTCTACGAAATGGTTGCTGGATGCAGTTAATATCTGCCTATAAGGAGTATTATTATCGAGACACATCTCTAATCTTTACTCAAACAAGAGTCCCAAGGCAGGGAATTTTAGTTGGTGATTGTTTCTTCTAACCTTTCCCTGATAAAGCACATCCTACAAAGCAGAAGGGGATGTGGTAGGTAGTATTGGGTTACATGATACTAGTAACTGTGTGATCATGATGATCCTTAACCTGGAGTAGTTAAAGGAGTTACTTCCTACAAACAGTACTTTAAAATATTAGACATGATATTTTGGAAATGCATCAGAAATAATATTAAGTTTAACAAAATACTAGAGATTAAGGTGTGTGTAGGTTTTATAGTTGAAGTTACTAGTTAGTTACTGAGCTCACACTGCATCAAAGATTTAAACAGAACATAAACATACATAGTCTTTTCGTAAAACCAAAAATTTAAAACTTCAAAATGTTGATCCACATTTACAGTCATTGATAGATCATTATGTAGTTTTGCCCATTTTTATTATTTTTATAATTTTTATCAAAGCATTTTAGTCAAAATGCTTTCATGTTTATTAGATTATCTAAAAATGCAATAAACATTACAAAATTATAAAATTAAAGCATTTTATAAATAATTGTGTCTTTTGAATATTTATAAGTGTATGTATAGATAATATTTTATCTGTTGAGTAGTCCAAAATCATCTGTACACTTTTGTCTAAGATCATCTGTATTTTTATTTTCACTCCAACAAATCTGTCCAATATTATCTGGAAATTCAATGACCTTTAACAACATCTTTAGAAAGACGGAGCAATATCTGGGAATTTTTCTCCAAGTCCAATAACATCTGGAAGATGTTATTGGACTTGGAGATCTGGAAGATGTTATTGGAAATCTGGAAGATGTTATTGGACTTAAAGATAATTTTCTCCAGATGTATATTTCATCTGAAAATAATCTTATATGTAACTCCATCCGGTTAAAATAATGCATTATCATTTAATAATTTTTTCTTGATGTAATTACTTTTAAAAAAAATATGTAGTTACTCTAAAAATAATTGAAAAGATGTAACTACATCTGTAGAATTCACAGATGTAGTTGTTCTTAACGTAATTGAAAAGATGTAACTACATCTGTAAAATCTCCAATTATAGTTGCACATATTATACTTTGTTAATTGAAAAGAGGTAACTCCGTAGTATTCATATACTTTTTACACAGATTTTATTAGACATCAATAAAATTTCAGATGTTGTTGGACAGATGTTATTAGACATAGCAAAAACTGATGTAGTTACCCTGATCCTAGATTATTCTGAAGGGTCTGGGTAACTGCATTAGTTTTTGCTATGTCTAATAACATCTGTCCAACAACATCTATAAAAATAATGAGGTATAACTACATCAGTAAAACTAAATGTTTATGAAGTATAACTGCATCTAGTATACTGATTAGACTATTTGTTATTTACAATTTTGCAGCTAAGTTATTTTTTTGTAATTATTTAGATTGTTGATTTAGCTTTGCTTGCAAAAGAAGACTGTGAAAGAATGAACTTAATTTCTAAAGTTCTTCCTGTTTCCATTAACCCTCTTTCTGAACATGCTTTGTATTCCACAGCTAAACATCCTTGCATACCTAAAGGCGCTTTACCAACTCCCACACAATCACCTCCAGAGACGCCAACAAGTTCTATATCCAGCAATGAAGGTTTGGTTAACTTAACTTCTCCTATACAAGGTGGTCTTGCATCATCATTAGGAACAGCATCTCTTGCATCATCTCTTTCTAGTTTAGCTAAAACTCCAAAATCAAAAAAAAAGAAAGTGAAGGTTAGAAGTTGTAAGGAATTCAAATTTATTTCAAAACTTTAAAAGTTGTTGTAACTTTTTTTGAATATAATTTTAGAATTTTTCAAATTCAAACACTGAATTAAATAGCCAAAGAATACAACCCCTTCATATTAGAGAAGCTGTAAGAAGATACACCGTGTCAAAATATCCTATAACACCTTTTTATGTAAGTTCATTATGTACAAGTTTGTTAGCTTTTTCATTCAAAAATAATGTTTTTTTAATATCAGTAAACAAAATTGTTTCTATAAAAAATATTTTATTTAGACATTTTAACAAGAATAACTGTTTAACAATGTTTAATTAGACATTAAAGCCATGTTTAATGAAGGCATTAAAGCAATGATATTATAATGTAACTAGATGCACAACTATCTGCATTTTGCTTATAATTTAATGAAACATTCACATTTTTAGAGTACGGCAAAAGCAAAATAAACAACCATTGAGGAATATTTATTTAAATTATAATTGTTTATGAAATTATAATGTAATACTTTAATTACACATTTATTTACAACTAATTTTTATTATATTTTTTAATTTATAATATACTTATATATGAGGTTGTTTCTTTTTTTAAAAAAATCTATATATTTAAAATAAGTAATGGTTTCTATTAAAAAATTAACTGATAAAGCATTTTTGAAAATTTGTGTTCAGCTAATATCACGCATAAATATATTTTCCTTATGTCACATTCTTTCATTCTTTATGTCATTCAGAATTCAGGGTTTTTTTTACATTTTTTTCTACAAAATGGCAGAAAAAAGTTTTAGTTATTAAGTCATGTACCTGTTACCTAGTTATATTATTATTTCATTGCATCAAAGTCTGGCATATTTAACGGATGTTCAATTAAGTGTACCAAATAATGTTTTTGAAGATTTGAAATGTGAAACAAGTTTAATTTTTTAGCTTTTTTGCAAATTATTTTGAGAACAAATTTCATCTTTTAAAAATAGAGTTGTATATGGGTTTCTGTCAGGCGTACATGAGTTAGAAAATTAATACTTTTCTTTGGGCCACTTTGGCTGTTTGCTGTATTAACAGAACTTTTAGGCCATTTTGGATTTAAATAAGTTTTAGGTCTTTTTTGATTTAAAGTGTTGATATTTGTATCAAATTCATCATGGATTTTTTTCTATTTATTTAAAAAAAAAAAGATTTTTTTTATTGATTTTATTGAATTTTGATTTTATCAATCAATTTTTTTTTAAATGCTACTCTATTTTAACTTATTAGTTTACATTTATAAATTGATTTTTTTACTTTTTATAGTGTATATTATTTTTTATAGTATTATTTTGATTAATTAAATAAAAAAAGACTATATTAAAAAATAATAAAAAAGCTACAATTTTAAAAAAAAAAAACCTAAATGATACTTGACAGTTTTAAAAACATTTATTTAGTTAGTTTTAGTTTGTAGTCCTCCAACATTTTGCTAGAATTTCCGAAATCAGTCAGAATCAGTTATTTAATTCATAGATGAATAAAATATAAATGTCTGTATTATATGTAAAACAAAGCATTCAAAAATAGAATTTTTGTAAATTCCCACTGGATAGTTATTTAAATGGTAAAAAATTAGGGTGCGTTCATAAACCAGATGCATCATAGCTCTGTTACACAAATTGGTACAATGGTTTTTAAACACTGTTCATTTAAAAAAACAATTCATTTTTTATGCAAAATATTTTTATGATTTGAATAATGGCTAATTTGTAGCTGTTTTAAAATTTGACTCCAAGGTTAAACTGTATCAATTTCAAAATTTAGATTAATATGGTTTCATATTTGAATTTGAAATCAAAATAATGTGCTATCTTATTTTATTTTAAAGAATTAATCAATTTATTTATTTTTATTTTTTAAATCTAGACAATTTGCTGAGAAATTTTTGGGAACTACACTGCTACTTTAGATAAATGTAATAGCTAAAAAAAAATTTCAAAAATGTTGACAAGATTCAGTGTTTGTTTTGTTTTTCTGGAGCATAAAGAAGAAAAATCAAAGAAGTTATTTAGCAGTTTCAGCAATTTATAATTCTTCCAAAAAAACTTTTTTTTTTTTATTAATTATAAATATGATTCAAACCTAGAATGTGTTTTACTGTGATTTGCTCTACTTGTTAAAAAAACCTTTACGTGACTCCAATAAAGTATTGTAAGTAGGTTAAAGTATCCTAGTATCAATTTATAACAAACTTTCTTTCTGAGCATAAAGTCCTCAGAAAAAAAGATTGTTATAAATTGATAACTTTAATGCAAAAAAGAAAAAATTTTAAAAGATGTTTAAAGACTATTTAAAATTTTTAATTTATAGTCAGAGTTAAATCTTGTTGTTACATATATGTTGTATATATTGTTGTTGATACATATATGTTGTATATATTGTTGTTGTTACATATATGTTGTATATATTGTTGTTGATACATATATGTTGTATATATTGTTGTTGATACATGTGGAATTAAAAGTAAGGTTTGGTGTTGATAAAGTAGATATTGTTTAATTTGCCCGAATTGAAGTTGCTGGTTGCAATATAAAATTTATGCCATTATCTTTTGGTATCAAATATAAATATATAAGAGTAAAATCTCAAAAAACAACGTTTTTAAAAAGTATATGCTGCCACCTCTTTAATGTGTATAAAGGGGTGGCAACATATTTTTTTAAAAACGTTGATGAGAGGGATTAACTTAAAAAAAATACAGAAAATACATATCATTGTGAATCTGTTCCCTTTCTAAAATATCTTAACAGGCTTTTTAAGAAATTTTGCAAAAACTCTGCTGAGGCATGTTCATATGCATAATCAGTTTAAACTTTAAAAAAATATAAAGTTAGCACATAATATAGTAACCATGGAGCAAAATTAAAAAGAAAAAAACTAATTAATAATTTTAACACTTTAAGAATCAAAAATAGTAGTACTTGTGTTTAAATTTTTTTTGTTATAAAATGTATCAAGGGTGTATTCATTATTTTTTTGTGTTAAGGACCTTTTTTAGTGTGAAAATGGACATAATGTACAGTTAGGTAACTGTACATTTTGTGTTTATATCAGGTATAATACAACTATTACTTTTGACTTGAATTAAATGGATTACAAAAAATTGAGCTAATATGAACTTGGGTATAAAAATATCTAATAATATTGTCGTTTTTTTCACTCAACATTTTTTCATATACTTAAATTTTGTCATCAAATCTTTTCAAGTTTAAAACTGATGACTATAAAAAGTATACCCATCCTTGAATTGAATGTGAAGGGTGAATATTTTTTATACAGAGTTTTGATTATAAACTTTGTTGTTTTTAATTACTATATATTAATAAAGACTAAATTTATCAAAATTTTCCTTTGACACAAATTTTAATCTGGCATTCTAATAAAAATTAATAAAAAAACTATTTAATAAAAAAAACTAAATATAAGTAGTTATAATTGAGATATAAAATATAAATTTTTTTATTTTTTAGGGTTTCTCTCGCTCTACATTATCTCACAAGACATTGTGCCTTTAAACAACAATACAAGTTCTGTACGTTTTATTAATCTATGTTGTTGTTTTGTTTTGGTTTTTTATAATTAGTTGCTTTTTGAATCATACTTTATTTATTAATTAAATGCAAAATTGTTCAATTATGTAACTTTGCCCTGAATCAAAAGTGAGTGAAGTCACGCATCCCCCCCATAAATTATCTCTACTAGTGAGTATGTTACATAAAATGCACATTAACAGTAAATAAAAATTTTGTCAAACTTTTTATCGCGAAAAAGATATGCATGAATGTGTCAGTAATTTTTTCTTGAAGTTTTTTTAAATTTTTTTAATTAAATTATACAAAATTCTGAAAATATGTGGACAATCTTACGATCTATTAGCTTGAAGCATTATAGACATGCTTTTGCAAATAACATTTTCAAATATTTGACATTTCTTTGCAAATGATGGATATGCATACATATTTAAAGCCAAATAATTTGCTTATGCTTGGTTTTAAAATCTTGGTTTCTATTAGTTGTACAACAATTGTGCAACAGTTGTTTGATTAGTTTTACAGTTTGCTATTCGGCATCTTGTTTCAATTGCATTAATTTGGCACAAGTCTTTAAAAAAGAACAATCTAAATAGAAGAAGAAAAAATTACTTTAAATTTAACTTTTTGTTATACTTTTTATTTTAGGAAAAAAATCACAAGGAAAAGATAGCTCTTATTGATGCTTTTATTTCATTCACTCAAAAAAAAAATCTGTTATCCAATCCATTGTATACAACAGATTGGGTATTAATCCATCAGGATTATTGAACCAATAGATTTTTTGTTTAGTGATTGGAATAAAATTTTAATGTTTGTTGATATTGCTCAATTAAAATAAATGATCTAATATGCTTGTGCAACGAACAATCTATGAATTAAAAGATTTAATACCTTGTACATTAAATAATATGTTGTTGCTATTCCATTAAAACAAAAGAGTTAATGCATTATAGAAATAAAATTGCATTAAAATTAAGGAGAGATTTGTCAAGATTTTTGGTATAAAAATATAATTCTTATATTTGCGAATATTTTTGAATATATTAGTAATATTTGTGAATATAGAAAATTATTATATTAAAATATTTTAAATTAACATATTTTACCATTACATATCGGTACTTTACATAAAACAAATAACAATTAACATCTATCTGATACAAAGACTATTTGTAAAAACTAAAATGGCTAAGAAAACTACATTGATCAATTTGTAAGCAAGCCTTATAACTAGACATTGAAAACTTATCAATAAAATATTTATAAAATTATAATTCAATGAACAAGTTTTTTACTACAATCAAAATTTTTTCTAATTCTTTATTATTAAATATTTCAGATGCAGCAGACTATTTAAAAAATACAATACCAAAAAACAAATGATATAACTGTAACACCTCAATCCATTTTTCCACAATTAAACCATTGTGAATGGTTTAATTGTGGAAAAATGGATTGAGGCCGATGTTTTTGTAAACCTTTTTTTTATATTTGCATGTTTTTAGTTGTTTTTTTTTTCACCACAAATTAATAATTTTTAATTTTAACACATTTTACAATCTCTGCCATAAAGACAATAAAATTAATCACAATAATAAATGTGTAGCATCCTATAAATTAACATAAAATTACTATTTTGAATGTACTATATACTTGGTATAATTTATTTATTTTTTATTATTGTTACATTATATAGTTGCATAATAATAGAATTATTACAAGCATTTACTTTTCAATTTAAAAACTAAAAGATTTGAGTACTACCACACAACAAACAATATTTTAAAAATTACAATCGAAGATCATTTAGATTGAACAAACAATCAATCAATCATTTATTTCTGAATTAAGGTTTTACATTCAAGGATGTTTACAAATAGTAAATATACTAATATCAAGTAAACACCTACTAATGTTAATAATATCTAATTAACATAAATATAATGCTAATTTTCACAATATATAATAACGATAATAAACTTTATAACATAAAATAACGATGTAATATAAATAACGATGTTATAACAATAATAACAATAATAACAATATTAATAATAACAATAATAACAACAATATTAGTATTAGTAATAATATAAGATAAAAGTAGTTATCAATAGTAAATATTAGTAAAAATAACAAAATAACAATAATCAATAAAAAATATAAAATAGAAACTGTAAAAAAATATATATATATTAAGACAACAAAAATTGATTATAGAAATTATAAACATTAACTATATTTTTTTAATAAAAAGTAGAATAAACTGGTTTTAAAGGTTGAGAATGAATTGAGAGCTTTTAGTTCATAAGGAAGGTTGTTCCAAATTTTAGTGCTTTGATATTTTATGGATTTATGTACGTAATTATGAGAGCAGTGTTTAGAGACAGACAGGTTTAAATTACTATCGGAATGAAGATGATAACGATTGTTGGCACTTTTGGAAAAGAAATTAATGAAAGTTAAAGGTAGGTTATTGTGTTAGTGGTTCCAGACAAATTGACAATTTACAATTTGAATATAATCACATAGTTTTAATACTTTAGAAGTTAGGTAGAGCACATTAGGATTAAATTTAATATTCTGAAAATGAATAATTTTTAAAGCCTTGTTTGGAGGTGGGATAACCTAATAAGAGCTTGTTGATGGAACTGCCCCCATACTTGGCATGCATATCTAAGATATGAGCCAAAAATAGCATGGTATATGTTCAAGAGTGTCTCAAAATTAACATGATGGCAAATTTTGGCCAACATACCTTTAGATCTACTTAGTTTCATTGCTAAGTCTTTACAGTGGGATAAAAAGGAAAGATTTGAATCGATTTTTATACCAAGATATTTAATTGAGTTAACAGGTTCAATTTTTTTGCTACTTAATCTAAAGTTCATATGTTTATAGATTTTTGTTTTATTTGATTTAAAGATAATGAGTTCAGTTTTATTCGAGTTTAGAAAAAGTTTGTTAGAGCGAAGCCACTGAACTAGATTGGCAAGATTATGGTTAATGTGTTTGTTAATTTTTTTAAGGGATTTATTAATTAGTATTAGATTAGTATCATCAGCAAATGGTAAACTGTATCAAACTTAATGGATGTATGAAGATCATTAATATAAAGAAGAAAAAGCAGTGGTCCAAATACTGAACCCTGAGGAACACCATTAGAACATTTTACAAGGGTAGATTTTGAATCATTAATAGAAATAAATTGTGTTCTATTGTTTAAATATGTAGTGAACCATTTAAGTGGTACGCCTCTGATCCCATAATATTCTAATTTTTTCAACAAAATTGAATGATCCACTGTGTCAAACGCTTTATGTAAATCGACAAATACACCACATGCAATACATTTATCATCAAGTGCTTTTCTAATTAGTTCAGTCATTTCAATGAGAGCATGAGTTGTGGAGTGATTGGCACAAAATCCATACTGATGGGTGTAAAAGCATTTAAAATTTTCAAGAAAAGAATATAGCCTATTATGCATTGCCTTCTTAAAAAGTTTACCTATAATAGAAAGCAGAGAGATGGGTTGGTAATTGGTGAAATCTAGAAGAGAGCCTTTTTTAAATATTGGAATAATTTTGGCAACTTTAAAAATATCTGGGAAAATAAATGAGTTACTTATAACAGTAAAGAGAGGCTTTAAAATAATGTGAGACTAGTTTGAGGAGAAATGTAGGTACACTATTAGGACCAAGACTTTTTTCTGTTTGAAGCATGTTTGTAATGAGACCAGATATTTCATTTTCAGTTACTGGATTAATAAAAAACAAATTAAAATAATGTGAGACTAGTTTGAGGAGAAATGTAGATACACTATTAGGACCAAGACTTTTTTCTGTTTGAAGCATGTTTGTAATGAGACCAGATATTTCATTTTCAGTTACTGGATTTATAAAAAACAAATTAGCATTTGGAATGCTAAGAAAGTCACTAAATATGCGTTTAGGGGGTATGGCTTTGCTAAGTAGTTTGTTGTGTATAGTGCTAAAGTAATTATGAAATATATTAGATACGGCAGTGTGATCAGTGATAAGATTTAAGTTTAAAAAATGTATTGTGTGTAGAAGGTCTAATATTAATGATTTCTTTTATTCCCTTCCAGGTGTTTTTAATATTGTTCAGATTATTGTTAAAATAAGTAATAAAGTTTTTTTGCTAAATTTTAATAAATTAGAAATTTTGTTTCTATAAAATTTAAATTTTGCAAATAATTCATTTTTCTTATAAATATTTTTTGATTTTATAAACTTTTTATAAAGTTTGTTTTTAACTAAAATAGATTTAAGTATTCCATACGTAATCCAAGGTTTTGATTTTAGTTTAATTTGTTGGTTGGTTAGTATTTTATAAGGAGCATGTCGGTCTAAGATTTCATCAAATGTTCTTAAAATAAAATTCATGGATTTATTAACATCATCATCTTTTTTAATGAAGAGCTTCCAGTTGATATCAGAAATTTCTTCAATAAATATATTTTTATTAAATTTTTTGAAGCACTGTCTGTAAGTTTTTACTTTTTTGGGGTGGTAGGGTATGCCAGGAATGCAAATAAATTGTGCCATGTGGTCTGAAATTGAAATAGTAAGGTTACCTGAGAATTGATCAGTTGAATGAAAGTTCGTAAATATGTTATCAATAAGCGTTTTTGATGTAGCCGTTATGCGTGATGGTAAAATTATAGAAGGGCTTAGCGAGTAAGATGTTAAAGAATCTAGATATGTAGAAACAGGGTTAGATTCATTGTGACTTAATAAATCCATATCAAAATCACCCAATAGAAAAATCTTTTATTTTTTCGTTACTTAACTTTTCAAGTAGAGTAGTTAAGTGGTTTTATTGAAATCAACAACGTCATAGTATTTGCAATTAACAGAACTGGGAAATTTATTTAGATCTTTAAAGATATTTTTATGATTACTTATAGTCTCAAAAGAATATGATGAACTAGTAGATATATTTTTGCATAATAATGTTGACTTAGGCTCCAAGTTGGAAATCGAGCTAAAGGGCATACTCTTAGATAAATGACAATACAAATCTGACGAGCCATTCAAAAGAAGGTTATATGATTGTGCATTTATATGGTTACACTTTGCATAGACCCATGAGTTACAAAGATCACATTGGATGGCTCTTTGATTGTCAGTTATATTTTTATGACAAGTATTGCAGAGAGATTTAAATGCCATATTCTTTAGAAAAAAATATATATGTATATGCAGTATTAACTAGTTAAAGTGACTAAAGTGTGAAATAGAGATTTAAAAAAAAAAAAAAAAAGCAAAGTAGAAGACTAAATTTATTAATTTAAAACTTAGGTAACCGTTGGCGCAAATAATCGAAAATAATTTTAATAACAATATAAAGAAATGATAGAAAAAATTTGTAACAGTAAAGAAAGCTAAAAGGTAACAGTTATAAAATTAAACAATCAAAATAAATAAAACTTTGACAAACCATGAACTAATATTAACAGTAACTAAGACAACTAAAGATATCAAATATAAAAAAATAACTAATAATACTTTAATAATATCTAAATTATATTAATAATATATACTAATAATAATATAACTATTGTTAACTGCTACCAATAATAATATTGTTAACAAAGATACTAAAATAATAATAAGTAAAAATAAGCCAATAATAAATAAGTTTATAAAAATATAATATTAAATATATATGTAATAAATAAGTAGGTATCAAACGAGGACTAAAAATAAATACAATTAACTATAAAAAAATAATATAATGTGAGAAAACAAGTAATAATATAATGACTGAAAAATAATAATAACTAATGAATTAAAAATAATAATAGCTAATGAATTATAATCATGATTACAAGTTATATCGTAAAGAAAAAAGAATTATTAAAAAAAAAACAAAAAAAAAACCCAATCTTCGAGCTCTACATTTGCTTTTTCTTCTTTCTTTTTAAATTGATTATTTAATTCTTCTAATCTTTTCTTTCTTTTTATTTGTTACTTTACTTTTGTTCTTTTGTTTACCTTTTTTTTTTTTTTGTATTTTTTTTTTCTTTTTGATTAAGTTTGTGAAGTGTTTTTTTGTTTGTTTTTTTTTTTCTAAATTCGAAGTACTTTTTTTATATTTTTTTTACGTATACTTTTTTCCTTTTTGAATGATTTTTTATGTGCATATTTGCTTCATGTTAATCTATATGATCGTTGATGAGTTATTTGTGGTTATAAAATAAATAAATAATTAGAATTTTTATGTATAGTTTGGTTTTTTCTATATTATTTATCTTCGATTTTCTCTTTTGCTGTTATAAAAATGCATCCACCATTTGCGAAGACCTTGCGAAGATTCTCAAATGAACAAATTCTTTGGTCTTCTCAGGGTTATATGTAGGAGTAATCATATAATTCAAAAGCTCATGTTATTTGAACATATTTTGAAACCCCTTGAGGATTCAAAATACATGAGTTTAACTGTACTCTATTAACTTTATGGAGATAACCAGTTTTTCTAATGGATTGTTTTTAGACTGTTTGTGCAAGAAATTATGCTATTTGATAAGTTATTTTTTTATTAATACTTAAGAATGTCTTCTGACAGGCTTGAATAATTTTATCATTAATCTTCGATAACAAAAAAGTATTTTTCCATTAAATAGTCTGTATCTTCATTGTAAAGACTATTTATTACAATTCGATACTTGGTTGCAGTAGTTTCACTTCAAACTACAGGAGTGTTCAAAGAATCATTTTATTTTTGAGTTAACAGAACTACATTATGCAATATAATAATGTAAAAAAATTCAAAATATAATTAAAAAGTTAAACCAGATTTGGAATTTTACACAATGTATTGGAACTATTGATGAAAAGCATTTACGCATTTAGGCTCCTGTAAAATCTTGTTCTTCTTTTTACAATTAAAAAGGATTTTACATTTGTGATGCTAAATTTTGTTTTACAATGGTTGTCGTTTATGGAAGAGATAATGATGCTAAAAAATTCCATCTGTCCTTTTTGGATCTTAAACCATGGTTAATGAAACCATACCTAGTTAAAAAATTTACTGATTATCAAAGACATTTTATTTATTTACTATCTAGAGATCAAACAACAATTGAAAATGGACAAAGTTACAAGGTCAAGGGTGTTTGCCTAACTTCTTGAAATCAAAAACTAAAATATCAGTATTTGCATTTGCAAAAAGAATTACTTTAAAATAATATTTTAATTCACATGAAAAAAAGCCTTTCATGGGGTATGTTTTAATCCTGTTAAAAGTTAAAGTTTATTGTAGCAATTGGACTATGTTCAATAGACCTTTTCATAAATAAACGTCTGCGTTTCAAATCGAGGCTTAGGTTGTACCGTTAGTAAACAAACAAAATATCTCATTACTTAAGCTTATCTTATGTTTCTTTTAATCTTGAGCTTCATTTGTTATTTTAAAACAACAAAAAGATAATGTTATTATCATCAAACACAAATGAAATTTCTTCACAGGAAATAGGTTTGTTATTTTATTTTAAATGTTTATTATTTACTATTTTATTACTTGTATATCAAAGTAAAATATATAAAGCATGTTGTCAAAAAATTACCTAAACTGAAGCTTATTTTTATCTATAAAATTTCGTAAACTTATGTAGTGTAGTTGACTTAATGTATTTTTGTGTTTTTAGATCCAGCATTAATTGTTTTGAAAGAAGATGATATAGACGATCCAACTGTCAAAGTCGATTTAGAAAAATTACAAAAGTATACAAATAATCATTTAAAAAGGTGGCTTCTTTACCGTGGTGATTCTCTTAAAGGTGTAGTAACGTTGCGAGACTCTCAAGTTAAAGTTTTACAATATTTTCATAATGGAACGGATTCAATTATTTGTGATCCAACTCTTGATAAAAAATGGTTATCAAAAAAGGCATGTTTGATGGGTAAACATCTAAAAATACAAAATATAAAAACATTTCCTATATTGCCTGAAAATTTAAAATCTGAGCTTTTAAATTTGAATTCCAAAAATGGATGGAGCAAGTGTCTAGAGGGACTTCCTGCGTTTTCAGCTGAGAAAATTGATGCATATGCTTTAAATGTAAATAGTAATTTTTTTCCTAAATCTACAAAGTTAAAAAACATTTGTCTAGAGGAGAAATGTTTCTTGCAGAACAATACATTGATCTATCTTCTATTTACTCAAAACAAAGTATTGAACTATTTTGTGTAAAAGGAGTATGTGCAGCTAGCATGAAAAAAATTGCTATTAAAAAATTAGATGGATCAGTTACATATGCATTTTGTGAATGCCCAGGAGGAAAAACTGGAACTTGTTCACATGCATTTGCAATGATGAAACTTGTTGCAAAATGGGTAGTTGAAAAACTGAAAACTGTTCCAAATATTCAAGCATGTACATCAAGAACTTGTGCTTGGTCAATACCACAAAGTTGTAAAAGATTTGATAAAACACCAATAAGTGACTTAAAAATTATATCACCACAAATAAAATAAAAACCTTTGTCGAAAAGAAAAGTATCTTCATTTGCCACAATCAAATCATCATTGTACGATACTAGAACTGATTTAAACAGAAAAAGTGATAATGAAAATAAAATAAATGAGCTTTATAATAATCTTTTAAACAGTGATGTTAAAGTGCATATGTTGAATGTTTTAAATAAATCAAATGAGGGAACAGTCAAAACAAGCCTAGGAAGCGTCTTAATTGGGTCTGCATTAAGCTATCAATGTGCTTTAGTTCCACCAAGTTACAATGTTTACTACAACTTACCTGAACCTTCAAAAAATTTAGACAGCGTTCAATACATTGAGTACCCTACATTCCCTTTTAATAAAACTGATGATTCAATAACTTGTTACATTGAAAAAATCGTTTGTAATAAAAAAATGAATATTTTAGAAAATATGAAGTTAGTGAAGGAAATAGTTGTTCAAATCGAAAAAGAAACATGGTAACAGGATGGAAATTCAAAATGGTTTGATTACAGAAGGAATCGATTCACTGCATCTTTATGTAATAAGTTAGAGAACAAATCTCAAAAAGGATTCAAAAGTTTGGCTCACAAACTTGTTTATCATGAAAACAAAATAAATCTAAACAATATTATTTCATATAAACTTTCTTATGGTAAATATTATGAACCTATAGCGTTAAAATATTATGAAAACTTTATGAAATCCAATGGCTATAAACTAGATGTAGAACCATGTGGTTTAGTAATTGATGAAAAAAATTTTATTTTGGGTGCATCACCTGATAGGAAAGTTAGGTGTGATAATGATTGTGGAATAATAGAAATTAAGTGCAGTGAAGAATATAGTAGCCTGGACCCAAAAGATATATGTTTTGTAGCAAAAAATCCATCTATAATATTTGATAAATCTAGTAACATAATTTTAATATACAAAAACCATAGTTATTATGATCAAATCCAAATGCAACTTGGATTAACAACACAAACGTGGTGTGATTTTTTATTTTACACTTCAAAAGGATTAGTTATTGATCGTATTACGTCTGACAAAGTATATTGGGAAACTCTAAGGAAGAGAGTATTAGACTTTTACTTCAACTATATGTTGGATGAAATAATTGAAAAAATAAATAACAATGCTTTAATTTAAAGACAAATATTTTATTGAAATTTGCAGATTCTATTGTACAGTATATACATTTATAAATTTACACAAACACTTACAATAGAGTGTTTTGGTGAGCAAAAAGTGAGCTAACGTAAGGAAAATTTTCACTATTTTATAATGAAAAAGAAGAGGGAAAAGGAATAATAATGAAAAAAATTTGATCCCTGCCCTAACCCAAACCCTTGAATATGTTATTAACTCCCTTGCAGGTTCTCCCTAAATCAGTTGATGTATGTACTAAAGCCCTCACCCTTCCCTAAATCAGTGTGACATACTATTGCTAACCAAAATATACAATATTATATATATATATATATATATATATATATATATATATATATATATATATATATATATATATATATATATATATATATATATATATATATATAATATATATATAATATATATAATGTATATAATATATATATAATGTATATAATATATATAATATATATAGTATATATAATATATATAACATATATATATATATATATATATATATGATGTCACACTGATTTAGGGATAGGCGAGGGCTTTAGTACATATATTGACTGATTTAGGCAAAACTTGCATGGTAGTTTATAACACATCGAAGGGTTTGGGTTGGAGCAGGGATCAATTTTTTTTCATTATTATTCTTTTTCCCTCTTCTTTTTCTAATAAATGTCACTTAAAGAAAGGCAACATATTTTATCACTTTTTGCTTATCTTTATATACATGTGTATATATATATATATATATATATATATATATATATATATATATATATATATATATATAAGAAATCTATTTGTAGTTCTTTATGATATATATAAATGTTCAATTCAATGTTACATTTTTGTTGTTCTCTCAACGCATTTTTATTCATTAGATTCTATCTGTGTTTTTTATAATAGGCTCATGAAAGTTAGTTAAAATTCCACAAACTGTAACTATTTGATTGAGAGAACCAATCATGTTTAGAGGAATAACTCTATCAAATATATGAAAACATTTTAATCTTTGATGCATTCTCTCAACATGAATGCGCTCACTTGCAATTTGCTGACTTTGTATCACCTCTGTTTAAGTGAGTTGTTTGCGACTTCGAAGAAATGATGGAATAATTAATTTAACTCTGAGTGGACTTAATTAATCTTGTATAGTAAAACCTCTATCTGCCATAACTTCTTCACCGTGATTCCATAAAGTTTGATTTAAAAGTCCACTTTTAATCGTTATTTCTTTATCTGATATACTCCCAGGGTAAGCAGCAGATATAAAAATAAAACCACCTCCTGGGGCAATGCCAACTAAAATCTTTACAGTTGTGTGACTTTTATAGTCAGAATAGAGCAATTTATGTACAGTCAATGACTGAGGTACAGCTACTTTTATTTCAAGACAATCAATGATGCATTTAACATTGGGAAATTTATCCTTCATTGACTGAGGCATATTTAGTTTTAATTGAGTTAATGTAGGCCATATGCTAAGACTACCCAGCCTTATATACATAAAGTTCAACCATGTTATAACAGTGTTACTTCACATACTGTGAAGTAACACTGTTATAACATGGTTGAACTTTATGTATATATCAGTTCCTTCACATACTGAAAAAAGAAATGTTAAATGTCTTATGTCATAATTTCTTCTTAATAGCACTAAAGTTAATAAATATGCTTCTAATGGTAACAGAATTCGATTTCTCCCCCTATTTTCATTTTCTTGTGAGTGCTTACTGTTGTATAAGATAAGGTTTTCTCCATTTTCTCCGGGGTCAAGATATATAAAAACTGCATCAAATGTTTTTCGATTCGGAAATCCTGTGTAATGTTTAATTCTTTTTCACATGATAGAACATGCTCAACAAATTTATTTTCTTCATTAGATATTGTTTCTTTTATTTTTTATTTTCATTTTGCAACTGTTTCATTTTTAATTTGCTCGAAAGGAGTGATTCTCTATTTGAGCTACTACTTATTTTGTTAAGAACATCATTGTCAGGCAAAACTATACTTTTAGGAGGAGATTGTCTATAACCAGGTGGTTTTCTTTCTTTTTCACTAGTTTTGAAATTATTCCAGCTATGAAGTGATGGTTAAGCGCCTTTCCTTAAAGAACATCTCGTTCCTCCAGCAGCTCTTAAAATGTCCTGCGATTTAAAATGAGAGTAGCATAAATATGATGAGTTAGTAACATTAAAACCATATAAATCATTTTTACGTTTTATCAAGTTGCACCAAAAAAGAAATTTCATTTTTATCTTTTGGAAAATGAAAGAATTTAATGCCAGAAGCCTTTCGCTCTCCAAATTCGATAATATAGCTTCGATTGAAGCAATTATAGGCAGCACATTGTTTGCCAGATGATTTTCTTATAGGTTTTTTATTAGAAGCCATTTGGTTTGTTTACAAACGGTACAACCTAAGCCTCGTTTTGGAATTATGCGGACGTTTATTTATGAAAAGGTCTATCGTTGGAATACAAGTCCTGCCTAAGACACAGCAATGGTATGGCATAATATGTCTGGTAGAACTGTTGACATGTTTCAAAACATTTTCTGCCAATGTATTTTGTTTCCCACATTTTCTATCGGCATAATTTGACATAATTTTATGTCTGAATTATTTTCTGCTGACAAAATATGTCAGACTTTTTTTCTGTCAGCATATTATGACCATTTTATGTCTGAATATTTTTTTGCTGTCATAAAATATGTCTGACATATTTTGATATATTTTATTATAGACATATTTTATGTTTTATATTCTTGAAAAAAAAATTAAACTAACAATTAGCAAAGTTATTAGTCCTTGGCCTTGCCTTAAGGATAAAAATTGGGACCTTGGTCTTGCTCTTGGCCGTGAAACTGATGGACTTGGCCTTGAACATTTTGGCTTTGGCCTTGAATGTTTTGGACTTCCACCTTTTCTTATTAAATTCAGAACTTTCTTTCTTGTTTGCATTTTAAAAAATTTACTACAGTTGATTTTGTTTACAAGAGGTATTTTTGTTTACTTGAAAGAAGTATTTTTGTTTACTTGAAAGCTTTAGAACTTTATTTTGTGTTTGTATGTCTGATTTGTTGCTTGAAAATTTGATGTTTCTTATATGTGGTAATGACTTATAGGCTATATAGTAGGGTGGGTCATAAAATTACTAGAGTTGCTAACCTGGCTATGGTCTAGGAAAGTTAGGAAAGAAATTTAGGAAAGTATATGCTTTTAAGGATTGAACAATGTCTTCCACCCGCAATTTTAGTCACAAAAGTTAGCAGGCCTTACTATTATTCAAAAAAAAAGTTTTTCAAAAATATGTGATGTAGGTACTCAAATATAGCAAAATTTTATAAAAATTTCAAAAATAATATTTTTTTCATATAAAAATTATTATTTTAGATTTTATTGCATAATAACTATGGTTTTTTAACTAAAAGTGAAAAAAGTGCATTTTAATATGTTTTTTAATGACAATTTTTTTCGGCAATATCATTTTTATAAAACAATTATTATTTTCGAATTTTTTTATAAAATTTCGCTTCTTTTCGCTTTCGTACCAGGTTGACCTACTTTTGAAAAACGTTTTTTCTCCAAAATATTAGGGTACCGGTAATTTTCCCAATAAAGTTGCGCCCTTTAAATCACTATCATTCTTATATTTGATAGTATCACTATTAATAACTATTCGCAATGTTTAGAACCTGTAACAAGAAAAAAAAATTTTATGACCCACCGTACTATATAGTTATACTGCTTATGACTTATAGTTAATCCTAACATCAAAATATTTTTTGATTACAAGATGTTGATATTAGTTATTAGCATTAAGTACAAAAATACATAAAAATAAAGAATTAAAAATTTCACTTCTTTATTTTCATGTATTTTTGTTTCTGGCTTTCATATATATTTCATATATATTAAAACAACAAAATTTTAAAAGTTTTTTTAATTAAAATTATATTTAAATTTTTATTATATTTATGTTATATATTTATATTACTGTTTTTTTTTATATTTATTAGTTTATTATAAAGTTTTTATTTATTTATACTGTTTTATACTATTATACTGTTAGTAATGTATTTGTAATAATTGCAGAGTTTTTTATATATAAAATATAACTTTGAATTAATAAGCAATAGTTTAGTTATCCTTTTAATTCAAAAATATATAATAATGGAAAAAGGTTTGCCATCAGTCATCAAATTCGGATACAAAAATTTTCTTATATTCTTATATTATCTTAATTTATTTCTTTATGAAGATAAATAGTCAGCTAAGTGAAATACTTGTCATTCTAGTATTACAGAAACACATGGTGTAGTTCCAGAATTTACGAAGTGAGTAATTCATATTCACAATAATTATTATTCTTACAGTTCATTTATTTGACTTCGCTTCTTTATCTCTTTAGTTCATTTATTTGACTTAGTCCAGCTTCTTTTTTCTTTTTTTTTACACTAAAAGATGGTAAATGTAAACATTTGTCTATATTTTAGACATCTTGCAAACATGAGCATTATATGAGCTGCACAAGAATAATCAGATCACCATAAATGATATTCAACCTTTTCATAAGAAATTTTTTTAACTAGACAAAAAAAAAGATGACCAAAATGTTTCTTACAGTTCATAACATACTCTCCAAAAGTTATTGACTCAATCATTTATAAACAACGTCATTGTAATTTGTGGTTAGCCAATTTCATTAACTGAAAACACTTATTTTCGAAAGTTTTTAACAGACATTGATTCTAAGTTTATACCATGCAGGCAAACAATTTCATATGAAATTTTAACAAAAATGAAACAGGTTAAACTCACAAAATTGCATAAGTTTTTAGATAAATCTTTCACTAACAACAGATATAAGGACCGATAGAAGAGCACGCGCATTTCTTGTAGTCATTTTCCATGTTTTTATAAATGATAAACCACAGTCTCAATTTCTTGCATTTCGTTCTTTCCAAGAATCGCATACTGGAAGAAAAATAGCAGATGAGAGATGATGGAGACAATAATTTCAGAAAAAAACATAAAATGCCAATAAAGTGCATTACGTTGTGACAGACAAGGCTTCCAACATAAAGAAAGCTATGAATGTTTTATTTGATGATGGGGAAGATCATTTGGATGATGAGACTGATTCATCATTGTGGGAAGATCTAATCGAAGAAGGTATAGATCTAACAAAAATCTCTGAATATAATTGCAAAGCAAATACCTTGCTTTGCTCATTCTCTGCAATTAGTAGTTCATGTTGGATAAATCGCTAACAAATTTCAAGCTTACCCCTTAAATGTTCTAAACTTTAAAATCTATTACATCAGAGTTCTCTATTTCCTAGTGCCTATAAGTCTGCAATTTGAAAAAAATATTGTTTCATCTAATTATGTAACTCGTTGGAAAGTCCATTTAGTCAGTTGATCAATTATTTCACTTGATCAAACCAAGTTAGGTACAGTTTTGTGTGAGTTAAACCAAGATAATCTAATATTATCAGTCAAAGAGTTAAATTAGCTGAAAAAATTGCTGCATATATTAGAACCTTTTGCTGAAGCAACAAATGTTCAGGGTGATAAAGTAATTACTATTTATGTTATACAGTTGTGTTGTTCCAGTTTTTCTATCACTATCTAAAATTTTAGAGGAAATGTTAAGAAAAAGCAGTTTTTTAAAATCCCTTTGCAAGGACCACACAACTATTTTTATAGTATATTTTTATTTTTTTTAATTAACCGTCCTGATGAAATTGCGCCATATTCAATAACAAGCAGTAAGTTCTGTGTTTTTTTTTTGTTTTGTTTTTTTTTTTGATTTTATTGATTTTGAAAGAATAATGCAGTACTTATTAAATAGTGATTATAAAAAGCAAATTATGAAATCTACTGAAAATAGTGTTAACCCTCATATTCCAGAGTCCTTTACACACAAAAATGACTTTTTGGAAATTTTAGAAAAAATCATGTTTTACAGTCACAGATTAGCATTTTCAACCTCTCAGCAAAAGCATTTTTAACGCTCAGCAAATGACAAACTGACAATTCTTGAACGAATAAATTCCCTAGATTTTAATCAAAAAGAGTTTACTTTAAAAAAACTGTACACGATGGAATAATATTTAAAAAAAAGAACTATATTATAAATATAAGGCCAAAATTCAAGTTGATAAATAAGGTGTGGAGTTAAAGAATTGAGTAGGTTGTAACCACAATAATAAGAAAAAAAGTACTCTTGCATACTTAATACACGGGAGGGATGTGTATTAATTTTCGGAAAATTTTCCAACCCACCCCAAGCCTATTAAGACTCTTTCCCCCACCTTCCCTAGTAAATAATTTTTACTAGTTATCAACGAAAAAAAAACATCTCAAAACTGAAAAAAAATATGTCTAAACCGGCCTTAAAATTTAGAAAATAATTTATCAGTTAGTAATAAGAATAAAAGTTTTATTCCTCATCATAGAAGTTATGTTCTTGTCCTTTGAATGATATTTAAAAACTTGATGAAAAAAGGTATTCCAAATCTAAATTAGATCTCATTCAAGTTTAAAAATAAACTAAGAAACTATAAACAATTCAGAGATGAATAACAAAAAGTTATAATGATAAAGTTTGTGTCTGATGTAAGTTAATAATTTTTTAATCCGCAATGCATTCAAAATATTTTTATCCTTACGTGGATTTAAAGAAAAAATTTAGTCTAATTTTAAAGAAAAAACTAAATTAAAATTTAAGCTTTATATTTTACATTTAATTTAATTTATTTATTTCTAAAAGATTATTTTTTGGTAGGATCAGCTCTAGTAGCCGTGGGGGGTAAAATGGGGGAGGTAATATTTGAGCAATATAGCAATATATAATATGGGGGGGGGGGTAATATTTGAGCAAGTTTTCTGTTAAAAGAGAAATCAATTCTAGATTCGCTCTTTATTGTTGAAAATGGAAAAATAAAGAATTACTTAATTATTAAACTTTTCTCTTCTAGACAATTGCATTTTATAGACTTATGTTTTTATTGCGAAAGCTAATTATAGATCACGCCCTGTTGCGTATCCTACAGTGCATGAATGTAAACAAACGTCAACAAAAGATTAATAAAAATTACATCAATAATCAACTTACTAGATAATCAACAAAATAAGAATAGTTTATAATAATAATACGTCCTTGGATTAACGTTTGAAAATAGTATTGTCTAATTGACTTAGTATCTACCGATATTTTTTGTTTTGGTAAAAAGTTAACTTTTTAAACTTGAAATGAAAGTTGTTAAAAAAAGACATTTTTTACTTACTCCTCAGAAATGTACTAGTGAAGACGAAACTAAAAAAGGTAAACATTTTTTTTTTTACTGACAATTATTTAGTATAGTTTAAATTATAAAACATGAAACTTCTATGGGAAAGTACAAAACATGTAATTTCTATGGGAAAGTTCGATCTGTTTTGCACAAAAAATTGTAAAAAATTACTAAAAACTGTCGTAAGTAGTACATAAAACGTTAAAGGAAAAACGATAAAGAAAATAAAGTACCATATACTATGTAAAAAAATATTTTTTTTTAAAGTTGAAATAATACTTTTTTTATGTTTAGAATACAATGAGATTAAGCAAAAACTGGCAATCTTTAACAAACAAAGTGAATCCCACGGACGATATCTTATATGTGTGGGCCCCGTAAACGTCCGAATGTGTAGCTATTCCTTTAGTTCGTGCAACAAAGCCAGAAAGCAAGGTGATGCAAAATCAACAGAGCTGTTTTTTGTTGATAAACTTGAAAAAAGACAAACTAGGTCTGCATTTTGTTACAGCTGTTTAATGGATTTTTTCAACAAACTTTGACCTTTTTACCTAATCGGTTTTTGGACGCTTTTTGTTTTTTTATTCCATTTTTTAGTGTTGGTCGTATTCATTAATTTGTATCCAACATGTTAATTTTAATATTTTAAAATGGTATTATAGTAATATATTGAAGAATGTACTCTAAATGTTAATCTAAGCCTACCTGCGTCAAAAAATTTATATTTTTGTTAATTTTTTTTTTAATAACATTGTTGATATCAGTTCGTTATTCATTTTCTTTGAATTAAAATTTAGATAAAAATATAGCGTGTATATAAAAATATAGCGTGTAACTTTTATATGTTATAAACTACAGAGTTTTGCAAGTTTGCTGCGACCCAGTAGATAGCATACTTGCATTAAATTGATTGCTTCTCAAAATTTATCTTAAATTGGAAGAGAGTTAAATGTGCGTCCCTTAACATGACATAAAAAACAGAATGAGTGGGGATCCTTAACAAAACTCAATATTCTCTACTGGCTGCATAATCAAAAAAAGAGTAAAAATCGCTTCTCTTTTAAGATGTATCTGTGATGCAGATCTCTAAGATCAATAGTGTATGCTGTATATGCATAGATATATTTTATTTATACTTTTTTAAATTAAGTATTTTACTAAAAAAGTTTATTTTTTACATCAATTTTTGTTAGTATAATTAAATGATTATATATCATATTTTCATTCATTTATTTATAAAAACGAATTATTATAGAAATATACAGGGCCGACGACACTGGTAGGGGGGGGGCAGGGTAGCACGTCCCCCCTCGATATAACAATATTTAAACAAAAATATAATCCTAAACTTAACCCTCCTTCGACCCAAATCAATAATTGATGTTGCGCCGCTAACTTGCATGTTTGTCAGTCGATGCATGTATTTCTCGCTTTTAAAAGTGAAAAGTACATGGATTGACTGACAAACATGCAAGTTAGTAACATTTTATGAAAATTTTGGCGCAACATTTTATGAAAATTTACATAAAATTTTCATAAATTGTGGCGCAACATTTTATGAAAACTTTCATAAAAGTTGACTTTTTTATTTAAAAAAAAAGTCACCATCAAAAAGTTACAAGATAAACGAAAATCTCTCTGTAAATTTTTTTTCTTTGTAAGTATAAGTTTTTTCATAAAATGTGTCTGTTTAGGGAAAAGCCATATATATATATATATATATATATATATATATATATATATATATATATATATATATATATATATATATATATATATATAATATATATATATATATATATATATATATATATATATATATAATATATATATATATATATATATATATATATATATATATATATGGCTTTTTTCATAGTTGAGTAACGCATCATGCGGAGATATTTTCTCCAATGGTTCTTCCATAACTCAGAGAATTGTTGCTCTTACTTTAAAATAATCCTGATTAAAAACACTACAAGAAGTTAAATACAATTTTAATGTCTTAATACTAAAACAAGATAAAAATAATATGATTTTAGCGGCACAAAAAAAAGTGTTTTTTAGCAGCATATTTAAGTAACGAAACAAGCGATAACTAAGACCATGTTTCAAAAATTTATTTATATATATTTATAGTTATTATATTTATATATATTTAGTTATAATTATATATATTTATAGTTATTATATTTATTATATTTAGTGATATATTTATATCAACTTTTTTGCTCATCTTGAGATATCGTTGTACTAAGATTACAAATTTTAAAAAAACAAAGAATGATGAAAAATCGAAAAGAAATTAATATAAATATAAAACGTTCAGTGAACGACCTACGAATAAAAAAATAGAAACACATAAAAACAATATTTTAAAAACATTACTTATATTTTAAATTGCGCAGATATTACTTATTTAGATTTTATAAGAGATAAAATAAAGGATTTGACAATCTGTTGTGGTTGTTATGCGCGTTGCTAGGAATAATTATTAACATAAGATGATGTTTTAAATATGTTTACATTTTTTTTTTTTTTTTTACCATTGTTTTTGATTGGATAAATAATCTATTTTTCCAAAAGTTTCAATTTTTTCAAGATTTGTTTACTATACATTTAAAATCAGTGCCAGGCTCTTCAATACAAGTATTTTTTTATTAAAAAAAACATGATTAACTACTAAAACTATACCATGATTTTGAAAGATTTTCGACTTCGTTTTTTTGCAGCTAGTCTATTAAACTCCTTGGCTTCAGGCACTTTATCAAAGCGTTTTCTCCAATTTTTAAAATTTTTAGCCTTATAGTATGAGAATTTTTCAAATAATAGTTGTTTTACATTATGTTACTTTTTGTGTATTTATCTCAGCGGTTTAAAACTGCTTTTTTTTTTTTTTTTGAATCGTAGTTTTGCTTTTTTTCAAATCTTTTTAGTCTATGTAAACTATTAGGTTTTCTCTACCTGTGTTAAAATACTTTGAAATATAAAATATCAACAGTTTGCATGTGTTTTTTGAAATGTTTCACAAATTTGAAATGCATCTCTCATAGGCGCGATTAAACGCGTACAGTTCACAAACAAATTTTTATATTATTTCAGATTCAACTTTAGGAGGCATTAAACGCACAAGTGTGAAATAATGACATAATCTAAATCAGAGAATGATAGTATCGAAATTTTACGCTGTTACTCTATTACAATCTGAATTTAAAGTACAATACAATTAAAAATTGGATACCAACAAAGTATACTGCTTGTTTTTCCGTTTGAAAAAATGTAATGAATAAATAAATGCAAAGAAAAACATCATACATGAGATTTGGAAATCAATGTACCAGATAAGTAAAGATAAGCTGTTGTGATTCCAGAGTAGCAGCTGTTTTCCGATGATTGAATCGATTAAAAATAAAATTTTGTTGCGTGATTTTTTGGAAAATTAAACTTCATTGTAACAATTAATTACTTCTTTTTATTATTATTATTTATTTAAAATATTTTGCCGTTTAAAGATATTACAATAACCGGATATATTTTACAATTTTTATATTAGTAACAACATAACTTCTAGAAGATCATGAGGATCTTGTCATAAAGCCCTTTACAATATATGGTTAATTTTTAATAAAAACATAATGTCTGTAGTGAAATAATAATACACCTTTATGCAAAAACATTTAAAAACCAAAATAAAATGTTAAAAAGCCAAGATAAAATGTTAAACCAAATAATATACAAAATAGAACAACAACAAACAAACAAAAATAGCAATTAAAGATAAATCAGGATATTTTCAAATCAAAAATATAATATTTTTAAGTTTTTGTTTGAATTAAGCAAAAGTCAGTTGAGTAGAAAAATCAAAATTTGGTAAGACTTCTAAAACCATACTTTAGGTAAGCCAATAAAGTTTTGAACATGCTGGAAACTGACCCGAATATTCTATACACATAGAATCGTTTTAAAAAATAAAAAGAAATTGGTTTGATATTCTGCACAACGTTGTTACTTTTAATTTCTAATTCATTAATGAGAAAACACAATCAAAGTGTCATAAATATTTAAATAAAAAATAAAAAAATAATAAGTTTTTTAAACACAAAGTTTATCTTATATATTGACAAACTATCTATGTATTGTTCTAATTTATTTTTTTCGTTGTGATTTTAATATTTTTGCAGTTGCCATGTTAACTCATGTCAAATAAAGCATGTGATAAATGGGATGTGATAATTATTAGAGGATAGGGTTTTTTAAGTATCCGGCTGGAGACCGGATAACCAGATAAATCAAAAGTATCCGGCCGGATATTTTAAAGGTTTTTTAATTTGATTTAAAGAGCCAATGTTTTTTTTTTTTTTTTTTTTTTTTTATCAAAACCTTATTTTAATAATATACAGGTCAACGTTTTTTTTATTTATCAAGTCAAATATTATAAAACATCATCGCGGTAATCATTGTAAAATGACAAGTCTTGTTTGTAGCTTTTTAAAATTAATGATCCATCTGAATCGATTACAGTTTGTATTCTTTGTGGAAAGCAGAGTAAGGGATATAATAATTCTGGTCAATAATTGTTTTCTACAATTCCACTGCCCAATTAAGTTAAAAAAATTTATTTAAAATTTAATTAAGAGGAAAGAAAAAAATTTAACAGTCAATCTCTTAAACTTCACAAAAACATTCTTAAGATAGCATGCTAAGGTAACATGTAGCTAATTGTAAAAGAAATGTAAAATATTATTGTATTTAGTATATATTTTATAGTATTTTTTTTTAAGGATAGTATTTAATCGAAAAAGATATGGAATGTTAATGATGAAAATACATAAATACAAAATAAATTTTAAAAAATAGATACGATGATTGCTTTAGATAACAAACCATTCAGTATTAATAAAAATGATGGATTTATTGGTTTAATGCCTCATTTACTGCTTAGGTACCGTCAACGGGGGTGATTATGAACGCTTTTTAAACATTTTCGCATTGTATGTAAAACTGTTAGCCTAATCGCTAGCTTTTTTTAACAAAACATTTTGCTATCTAGCTTCCAGGAAAGGTTTTAGGCCTGATTAATACTATGCAGTAAATGCATAAATTTTTCTTATTTTATACGAGTATGTTCTTATTTTTATAACGTGTTTAGAGTGGACTGCTGAATCGAGGTGATTTTGAACACTTTATAATGTTTTTATTTCATAGATTGTGGATAGATTAGTGGTTGTTAGTGATCAATCAGATAACAAAAAGTGTATTTTAGTATGTACTAGATCTTTTATTTCTATTTGGTTTAAAAAACTGCATACTAAATTTAAAATTTTAAACATAAAACAGAACATCAACCATCACGATCCTCTAAGTTCTTATGGCTTGCATATTAAGTAAATTTTTTTAATATAAAGCTCATAATATTTATCTTTTTATAGATTAGGCCACAACACTGGAGATTTGCTGCATTTTTGCGTTGAATCCTCGCGTCATTGCTTAGCTCTACCCGTTTTTTGTACCAATCACAGTACCAATCACTAACTTTTTTGTTGAGCATCATGGCATTAACTCATCTAAACAATGGATTCTTTTTCCTGGTTCCGCCTTTAGACCACCTGTTTTTTTGTTTTGCAGGTTGGTTTGTGCTTAAGCCTAGATTGTTCTTAAGAATATCTAAAATCAATTCGTTAAAAACCATTACGGTTTTTTTCTCTTTCCTGGAAAACATTTTATTGCTTCTGTTTTGTTCATAGGTTAGAACCCTGTTAAAATTGA